TGATCCACCCGCCTCGGCCTCCCACAGTGCTGGGATTACAGGCTTGAGCCACCGCGCCCGGCCCCAATTATATGATTTTCAAGATCACACACAAAAGTTAAAATGTTTGATTTAACAAACCAAAAAGGATCTGCCGAAAGGCATATCAATAGTTTAGCTTTTGATAATATTGTAAAGCATGTGTTTAACACTTACTAGACAGTCCAGAAAAATACAAATAACCTAGAAAATTAAAAATAAATTTAAAATGCTTAAAATGACCTTCTGACCACCTAAAAAATGCAGGGGGCATAAAAAGGATATGGTTATTTACATTTCTACTTTTATTAAAAATTTTATTTTCCTTATGCTCACTTACTTCCTTAGATGATATATCCAATTCCTTGGTCTTCTGTAAGAAAGGCAGACTTTAAAAAAGTCCTCCCTTCCAGATATCTTGCTTAACACTCTGCCTCTATGTTTCTAGATGTTTTATCAGCATAAGAAATAAAAATTTAAATATGAGGAAGCATCAAAGGAAAAACAAAGACAAAAAGGAGGTATTTTTTCAATTATGGATTAAGAAATCATGAATGGCCTAAAACTAAGCTTACTAATTCACTATCCACAACGATTAGGAAAAGTTCAGTGTTCCCAGTGAAGCAACTGGAAATCAAGAAAATAAGTAGGTGTAAATGTCAAAGTTGCTTGCATTGTTTGTGGGTTGAAGCAGTCATAAAACTTTTCTGAGAAACAACTCATACTGAAACTTGCTATTAGCTCAACTCAGTGTGTGTGCACTCATTTGTGTGTGTCAGTCACCTGTGTATTGAGGTTAGGAAGAGATCCTGTTCGGACACATGTACTAATTGGTAACTTTGGTTCATTAGGAATTTGTTAACTCTTCTGTTACCTGGATATTCTTGCTTGCAATTTAGCAAATCTCTGGAAATTGGTCAAGTTACAATTAATTCCTCCTTTTTCTGCAAAGACATAGGAGTGATAGGCTGTCTGTATTGTTCCTGTTATATGGTCAAGTGAAGCTTAGACAATTTTATCCTAAGACATAATATGTGCATGGTATAACAGAAGGAAATGTAAAAACATAATTATATAAATTTATTTATATGTATGTATGTATCTGCCCAGAAAAGTATGTATGCCTGGTTAACATTGAGTACATACTCTGAGTACAATGGTCTAGAAGAATTGAGTACATACTCTGAGCCAGACAATGGTCTAGAAGTTTTACACACTTTGTCTTTTTTCCATTTAATCCTTTATCAGTATCTCCTGTTAAATCTTCAAGTCCTCTTTCTTTTACTCCAGACAGTTGGTGTCAGCTATCTGGTATGACAACATCTTGTCTCTCCCAGTAGGTTCTGTCCTGGGCTTCTGTATCAGAGCTGGGAGGGTCTCTTATGGAAATATTCTGATACACATGTGCAAACCTACATATGCAACCGAAGGAACACTTTTATGGGCCAACCAAGAATGGGAGGTTTTATGTAAATACTCCTCCCCTCCTTAATCCCTTGGAGACAATTCTATAATGCAGTCTGCACAGTCCTTAAAAAACCTGCAACAGGGCCAAGCCCCAGTGTCCACAGCCATCAACAGCTCGGAACAAAACCTTGGATTAGGTTTTCCTTCCTCCCTGTTTCACCTGCTTCCACTCCTTGAGATCCCTTTGCAATGCAAACCACCTGCACCCAATCCCTTATCTTAGGCTCTTTGGGGGAAACCCAGGCGAAACAAATGACCCAATAAGGAAGGTACTGTATTATCTCCATTTCGAAATGAAGATCCTGATGCGCAAGGCGGTTAAGTTGCCTAAAAATCACACAGTAAGTACTGACACCTGGATATGAATCCAGCCCACAGCCATGTACAATTTACCATGAGAGAGTATTGCTTCTCCAGCTTCATTAGAACCATACAGATGAAGGAGGACACTCCCCAAGAGGACCATGCTCCCTGCAGAAGGCAGATATGCTGGAATGCCAAGTGAATCAAGCAAACACATGCACATCTGCATAAAACAGCCATGCAAATCCACACAACCTTCTTTTTCTGCTATGTCAACTTCAAACCCAACCACTCATTTCGTTTCAGAGCCTGTACTACTGATTATATTAGAAGTAAAGAGACCATAAGGTCTGATACAATCATCAGCAAGGATTCCTCCTTTTTCACTTCTGTCTTCATTCTACTGCCTAGGGGCGTAAAGCCAAGTTCCACCCTAGAGACATGCCTGTTCATTGACACAAAGCCTTAGAAACCCAGCCACACACCTTGGTGCCCAGCATAATACACTTCCATCTAGTGACTTGGGGACCAAAAGTATTTTGCTAGAGTAGCATAAAGTATTTGAGCAAATAAACCAAAAACTGGTATTTTAAAAAGTTGGGTAGAAAGCATAGGAGTTACCATTTATTACTTATTTTATGCATGTCAGGGTATGTAAAAAACTGGAAAACAGACTTATTTTAAAGGTATCTTAGTTACATTTTCAATTATGCTTTTTGCAGATATTTATTCCAGAAGTACCTTTAAAATTAAAGCAATGAGTCCAATTATAAATAATCTAAAAAATGCAACTGAGTACCTTACTGCAAAGCTGCGTATTATTAACTGAGTACAACTTAGTGCCCAGTGTCTCGATTTCTATTTATTGTATTGTCTATGCGTACCTAGCATAAACTCTTGGGGGATAAGGCCCTTTCAAGCAAATAACATGTTGGAAAGAATTTTTCTTTCTGTGGTTGCCAGACTGTCCCAGTATGTAAAACCTGTAAGCTTTGGGTATAAAGCTGGATGATGCAGAAATGATTGAATTCAGCAGTTTAATCTAGGTAATGATACTCTCTGGAACATTTAAGGGTATAACTGACTTTAGGCTATATTTTAAAGGGGTTACCGGATTTGTTTTCTTTTGTTCCCAGAGCTCCAACCACTGAATGTCTGTCTAGTCTTGATGCCATTATGCCCCAACACGAGGTGGCAGCCTGTTTCCTGACCACAGTACAGGTTGTACCTATCCAGCCTCATAATGAAGAAAGTTCGAGGCCATCTCTCCTGACACCTGGAGAATCTGTACCTACTCAGATGGTGCGGCTTCTTTCCTACCTGCTGAGACTCACTGATGGAAGCATTAGTTTTCCTGCAGGACCACACACCTTTTTGAGATATTTCCACTCATCTGTCTCCTCCCACAATGTTCTCAAAAATTCAGCTCAAGTAGTGAGAAGCCATGACCCTTAACTCCTTTTTATTCCAGAAATCTTTCTAAAGGTTAAGAGCAACAACTCAAAGAGCACCGCCTGGGTTCCTATCCTACTTTTCCCCACTCTCAGCTGTGGGAGCCTTGGATATATTATTTAACCTTTCCCTATCTCAACTGTGCCTTTGCAAAACATTGGCCATAACATAATGCCTATCTCAGGGTTATAAAGAATGAATGAGATACATGTTAACTTGCTAAACACATTTTGTGGAAAATAGCAAAAATCTATAAATTTCAGGATCATCTGTGGCTTGGATCCAGGACCTTTATTTCAAGATCACACATTAGTGTATGCACGACTAACCTAGGTGTTTTCCTTTGTGTCTCCAATACACAATCTCCATTTCTGCCTATGTTTAGCTGCTCAGTTCAATTCAAAACAGGTCCCATAAAATAACTTTCTTCTCACTGTCTTAGAGTTAATATTTTTCCCAGTCTATCTCCTTGACTTTACTCAGCTTTTATGTTTGATCTTCTCCCCCATGTAGTATGTGTCTTACAATATCAGTCTTTTTCTCCCATTTATGTGCAATACGCTTAATTCACAATTCCTGCATCATTTATTCATTCTTTCAAAGATATCATCAAGTGTTTACCATATGCTAACTGGGAGAATAGCAGGAAAAATAAGATAAAAACAGCCCTATTGATATGTTGCCTTTTGTCACACAACACAAACTGGTAGTCTAAAAAGAAAAAAAAAATAGCACAGTATAAGAAAAATTCAGACCTTTTTTCCTGAGGGCTTAAAAAGTACAAAGAGAAATTGTGTGACAAGTAAACCTTTTAAATCCCCCATCAACATCCTCTGATGAAACACTATCTTGAAACCAGACTGGTGCTTTAAAAAGGACATGTTCTAAGTAAAGCGAAGTTGTTTTTCAGAACAAAGTAGGGAAAATCGCCGATTTAAAAGTAAAAGAGCTTTAGTGAAAAGTCCATAGTTGTGAGGTATTTGCTTTGCCACTCAGAAGGTGGAAGCTCTGCTGGGTAGAAACCGCCATTCTTTGAGGTCTGAGACTTCAGGCATCTCTCCCTCTCTCCCCTCCCATTCTTACAGACGCGGCCTCTCCATCACAGCTGCACATCGGTCCTCTCATTCCAACCAAACCACGGCGTCTCCAAAGTGGGAAAGCTGCTAATCAACACCCTTACGGCTTGTCATCAATCAGACTGCAAATCACAAACTTGCTTCCTCAACCCGAGAACAAACAGTCCAGGTAGCCAACGAAATGAAGGTTCCTTCCAACCCTAAAGGAAATCTACCAGGTTTCAGTTCTTTCGCTTTTAAGACAAAAAATTAACTGAACACACGTGTTTTCTCACCATTCTCAAGGCAGAGACATGAGTGGGCAGAGTTGGGCTGAAGTTTTTAAATTCCTGCACAGCAAAGCAATTAATTGTGCGTATGTTTGGAACAGTAAAAGCGTCTGGAATGCACAAGGACGCAGAGCCGCGCGAGGCGCGAGGAGCAGGCAGCTGGTGGGCTCCGAGTCACAAAGACTGCTGGGGCAGTACGCGAGCCAGAGTCACCATGGGCCCGGGTCCCAGGCCGCTGCCGTCTCACATCGCATCCGGTCCCAAGTCCAGCTGTCCTGCCCAGAGAAGCCCACCGGCACCGGGCACATCTCTGGGAGGGCGAGGCTGGGAGAAAGTGAGGGAAGACAGCGGGCGCGCGGCGGGTCCCGGGAAGAAAAGAGCCAGGTTGAGGAGGCGGGGGCGCGCGGGTCACCTGTATTGTTGGTATTGTTGGAAAAGCTGGTCCGACTCCCTGAAGCCCTAGTTGAGCAGCATGTTGATGCCGGCCAGGGTCAGCTCCGCGTCCTGCAGCGGCGCCGCCGCCACGTCTGAATCTCCATCGTCCCACCGCCGGGCAGAGCCGGCCATGGGCGCGCGAGGCCCTGCGCTGGGCCGAGGAGAGGTCGGGAGCAGCTGCTGAGGCCCCGCGCGCCCCGAGAAGGCTCTACCTGCTAGAGCCGAAAGAAGCCGGAAGCAGAGGGGAGAACAGAAGAAAGGAAAGGAGGGCCTAAGAGGCGGGGGCGGGGAGGGAAGAGGAGGGAAGGGCAGCGGAGGGAGGAGCCGCCTTCGCTTCTCCCAGCCCCCGCGCCCCCGCCCCTTCCCCTCCGGGTTCCCCAGGTCACGCCCTCGCCCACCGCCCGGGACTGCTCGGACACGCGCACGCGAGCCCGGAGGCCTGCCTGCCCCACACTCCAGTGAAGGGGCTAGACCCAGGAGGCGGGGGAAGGGCAAGCCACGAAGGAAGGGCGCGCGTGCGGGTGTGGAAGGAAAGGGAAGGGGACGGGGAACTCCGCCCCGAGCCCAACGCGAGCGCGGTGCGCGCTCTCCACGTGCGACTGCAACCCCGCGCAGCCCGCGCCCGCGACCCTCGACTTCCTTCCGTCCCTGGGACCGCCCCCTAGGACCGACGCAGCCAATTCCTGAGGAGGTGGGCGGCGGGGGCGGGGCCTCTGACACCTGCTAGACCTCTCCCCGGAGCCCCGCACTTGGAACAGCCAGGGAGAGCCCCTGGATCTGGGTGCCTCCCACTCCAGCCCGCCACCAACAGTAGCGCAATGAGGCAGGGGGAGAAATGGAGGCCTATATGCTATATGCCCAAATATTTAAAAGTTATAAATTAAGTTGCCAAAGTGTGTTCTGTTCTCACTGCCAATTCTTCTTGCAAAGCTTTGGCTTTCACATGACCACATGTTACAAAACATCAGAGGTGACTGAATGTAATCATCGCATAAGTCTCACTATTCTAATGATGGGCTGGTGATATCTGGATGCCTAATATTCTAGAGACAAGCAATTCATCAGTCATTTTTATGATTTTCCATAATTTTTTTCTCTAATTTAGCAAAATTCCTTAATACAGTGTTGCAATCAAGATTATGTTCTTAATGCCAAGTTACACAACCTTCTTTGAGTCGCTGTTGTTCTTAGACTGTAGTTTATTAATTTCAACTTGCAGTAACTTTGCTGAAGCATTTATAACAATTATTTTTTAAAATGAAAGTGAACCTCAGGTTTAGAAATAACTCATGATTTTTAAGCATTATGTTATCTATTATCATGGGACCAATATGATAAATTATTACAGAAAAATACAAAATAATTTTGTCATATTAGTTGCTTTTATTTTGTAAATTGTACCATCCCTTATAAGAATATCTAAATCAATATCTAACCTTTATAAATATAAATTTTAGAGTAATATGAATACTGCCAATCCTTAAGTGTCATGTGTAACTGTTGAAAAACCATGCTAATTCTTGAGTACATCTATAACCACAAACTGGAACACTGACAGAAGCAAGGAAATGGACGATTCTCACCCTTGGGAAACAGTACACTGTAATGCAGGAATCACTGCATTCATGCTGTCTGAGAAGAATTTGACAAGCTGACCTTTAAAAAAAAATCTAGGTTTTCTTAGATTTAACATATGTTCGTCTCAAACATCAGCAGTGTCACCATCCTTCCTGGCACTGAGAGGCTGTAATCTTTTGTTTTTAGGACATTGAGCTAAAGATAAGAAGCATTCCCTGGAGCCTGCATGGTGTCAATCATAAGAATGGATGTTGAGGGTTATGCACCCCACTGGGCATCATTGAATGACAAATCCCAAGTGACAGAGGTGCCCGTATGTTCTTTAATAAATTTATGCGTGTGTGTGTGTGTGTGTGTGTGTGTGTGTGTGTGTGTGTTTTGACGGGCAGGGCCCTCATACACAGGTTGTAGGTACTGTACTGTTCATTGAGGCCCAAAAGCTGGCGAATGGGGAAAATAACCCACATGACGCCACTGCCATGGAAGGGGCCCCTGTCCACACACTGCCAGATGTCCCCTGACAACATGCACTTACAGGCTACTGGAATTTTGGATGTGTGGAACCATTCACCAGATCCCTGAAGCAGTCTAGTCAATAAGGGGGAGAAGCCAAGAGCAAAATATCAGACATAGGAGATAGCCTGCACTTCTCCAACTGGGAAACACAGCCAAGCACAGTCCTGTAGGTCCGTATTACTGGGAAGAAAAAAAATAATTTCAAGTAATTGATGACACTATGGACATTGTATACAAGTTGCTGTTGAGGCCCTGCAGCTGAGGATGGGGGGTGGTGTGAGCAAAGTCAGAGCACTCTTTGTGGGGTTAATTCTGTCTCAAGAACCTCACACAGTCTGTTTTGCAGTCAAGGAAATTTAATTGTTGAACAACTAAGGCAAGGTCCAATGCAACTGCCTAGCACCCCACAATAGGCAGGGGAGGGGTAGCATGGATAGAGAGATAACTCTACCATATAATATACACCAGATATATGCAAAATTGGATTTAATCAGGTACCACAACAGTTATACTAGCATCATCATCATGAAGGGACATTTAAAAATATTTGCCTGTGGTGAGGGATACAAAAAGTTTCAAAATGGGCCCCCAAATCCTGAAGGAAGAGAACATGTGAACTCGTAATGCTGTGGCAGCTGTAGCTGGCATTGACACCCGCCCAGGGTTCACCTTGTAAGGAAGAATTAAGGCTGTGTTTTCTTCACTTGATAGAAATGGTAGATTATAAAGGCAGAGAGGGAGATCTAAGAAGTCATGGTGCAAATCACCTACAAAAGGAAGGAAAATCTAGATTAAAGGGCACCACACACTTGACATTGTGAGATTCTCAGCACCTTCCTGCAAAACTAATGCAGTCTTCAGTGCACTTGACTTCAGCCAAATATGATTTACCCAAATGTTTCCTTTGGAAGTTGAGAGACAGAGTGGAAAGAAAGGAGAAAAAAAATAAAAGAAAAGCTAGCGAGTGGGGAAAATAACCCACTTCCTTTCTGCAGTGAGTGTTGCCAGTATTTTGTGGTTCTTCATGTGATTTCATTATGAAGATGAAACTTCAATTTCAAATGATTAGTAAAAGAAGTTTTAGACACGTGTGTTACCTTTTATAAGGTAGATTTTTTAAAATAAGGTGTTGTGGTTGCAAATGACAGAAAACCTGACCCAAACTGTCTCAGAAAAGCAAATTTATTGATTGGTATGGAGCGATTTTACAAAATGAGGCTGTATCCCTGGCTTCAACACTAACTAGATCCCAGTTTCTTCTCTTCACCTCTTAGCTTTGCCACTTTGGTGTTTAATGGCTCTATTTTCAGACAGGCCTGCCTCTCCTGGTCCCAAAAGGCTTTTGGAAGCTCCCAGAGCTACATATTTGCTGGATACATCCAGCAGGGAGACGCTGCTTCTATAACAGCTTAACCAAAATCTCCTAATTGAATCTCACTGGCTTTGATTGGCAAGAGTGTAGTCAGGTGCCCATTCTTACCAATTAATGTGCCTAGGAGGGTCAGATCACTCCAACTGCATTAAGCCAGTCAGGGTCTGCTCCAGGACCTGGATGGGTAGAACCTATTTTACCCAGACTACCTAGGTGGAAAATCTCAGCTCTATTAGGAAAAGAGAGGAAGGGAATGGATATGAGAGAGACAATCAACAAACACACCCTATCTTTGCCTTTCTGAACACATTTTGAATTTTTGGATTTACATTCATTTTTGTTTTGCTTTTTGTTTTTCTTGAGACAGGGTCTTGCTCTGTTACCCAGGCTGGAAAGCAGGGGTGAGATCATGACTCATGGCAGCCTTGACTTCCCAGGCTCAAGTGATCCCCCCGCCTCAGCCTCCTGAGTAGCTGGAGCTATAGGCACGTGCCCAGCTAATTTTAGTATGTTTTGTAGAGACGATGTTTGGCTATGTTGCCCAGGCTGGTCTCAAACTCCTAAACTCAGGTAATCCACCCACCTCGGCCTCTTAGAGTGTGAGATTACAGGCATCAGCCACCCATGCTTGGCTGGGAATTATATTTTAAATGCATTCAAAGAATAAAGTACCACAAGAAAACCTTACTGTGTGTACTTTGGTTATATTACAATTTTTTGGTGATGCTAACAGTCATGTCTTCATGGATCTTTTTGTAAATCCATACTATCCGTTGAAATAAATACAGGTTCCCAAAATGTCTGGAATTCTAAGAAGAAAGACAGCAGAGAAATTCATGTCACTATTTTTATGTTGTGCTAGCTTTACCCATTCAGCTCTTCTACTGAAGGTGAAGTAAGTTTTAATTAACTACTTTTAACTAGAAGGTAAATCAGGTTAAGAGTGGCTATGTAAAACCTATTAAATTGTTTAGCCTAAAGCTGCCTCCTTACAAATTTTAGCCTAAAGATTTCTCCATACGTAGTGAACTGTAGTCTAACTGGATGCGTAAACAGACTGTAATGAACTCTTGTAACAAGTAGCCAAGTTTCAGCCAGTCAGAGCAGCCAACTGTTTAAACCATGGCTAACCCTGAGCTGTAACCAATCTGACTGTTTCTGTATCTTACTTCTGTTTTCTCTATGTCACTTACCTTCTGTCCATAAATCCTCGCTGACCCATGACACCACCAGTTGCCCTGAACCTATTCTGATAGTAGGGTTGCCCAATTCTCCAATTGTTCTTTGCTCAATTAAACTCTGTGTTAATTTATCTAAAGTCTTTCTTTTAACAAACCACACAGCAGGTTCCTTCCTTTTCTGCTCACAGGTAGATCACTAGCTTGCCTTTGAGTAGGGGAATATAGTGGTGGGTCGGTGGGGTTCACAGGGCTGCTTTTGTAGTTGGATGTGTGTCTCTGAGAGGACATTCATGGCTGCCCTGGGAAACCACAGCAGTTACCAGGGGGCAGGAAACCATGATCCTTTGGGCTGGATGCCTCCTCACCTGCCTTTCCATAAACCAAATAGCCATTGGAGTGCAGTACGAGTTTAAGCAGGTGTTTGCTAGAGAGCATTGTTCTGCTGCTATAGAGATTTGGGGACAAAACCGGGGAAGAAAGCACTTGTCTCTCCTCCATATGTTTCCTCCCCTTGGAAGCTTAAGCAATTATCTCTTCTGCAGTAGTCCTTGATTGGGATGTGTCTTTGAGTGTGACTGCAGGTCCTCTGTTGGCCTTCAGACAGTTTTATTCTCTCTCCCCATTATGCCTTCCTTCAACCCATCTACTTCCTTTTCATTGATATTCCCTGCTTCCTGGATCTACTATCCCTCCTTCTTCCTTACAGAAATTAATCAAGTTTTCCTCTTCCTTGGTCCCTTCTCATAACTTGCACATTTTGCGGCCTCTGGTGAATGTCCGTTACTTATCTTCTCTGTCTACTGACTTCCTCTGTAGAGGGAGAGGCTGTCTCTGGTTTCAAGACATGCATCTACTGAGTCCCTGGAGAGGAAAGTGGATGAACTCCAGTCCCATTGATAAGGGAAATGTCAAACGATACAGCAGGTTCCATTCAGTGCCCTGGAGGGTTTTCTCTGGAGTGTTTAAAACCAAATAAATCTTTCCAACACAATGTCTTTAACTTTTATTTTAGATTTGGAGGTACATGTGCAGGTTTGTTATATAGGTAAACTCATGTCATGGGGGTTTGTTGT